TGAATATGTGATTGTATAGAATGAAAACATAATAAAATATACATTAAAAAAAAAAAAAAAAGAAGTTCTGAATGCCCCAACACTGGAAGTCTTTAAGAAGATGTTGGATAGCCATTTGTCTGAAACGGTATAGGGTTTCCTGCCTAGGCAGGGGGTTGGACTAGAAGACCTCCAAGGTCCCTTCCAACTCTACTATTCTGTTACCGAGAGGTAATATCAAGAAGCTTGATATTATCTCTGTCAAATCAGCTGTTGCTTTTAGATCTTTCTTTGTAAATTGAGATTATACTATACTTTCCCAGTTCATGTGCAAGAAAAACCAGTTTAGAACTAGGAATCTTTTGAGTTTAGCCTGCTCAGGAAATGCTACCCTGAAAATCTTTGAGAGATGAATCAACATTCTTTTGGTTCCCTTTTGGGTTTTTTTTGGAGGGGTAAAGGTTGCTTTTCCCATTAGTTAGAATTTATTTCATTTTAACTTCTCCCATCTGGTTTTCTAATATAATATCTTAACAGCTTGGGACACTGATTAGGAAGTGTTTATCTAATTGATTGGAAGAGGTTGACAACTTTCCCAAATCTTGCATGTAACTCTTTGGATATCTCTTACACAAGATGGAAGCTTTGGAATAAGAATACTGAAAAGCCCCAAAATCCTACATTTTGTATAGGGGTTGTTCTTTTTTAACCTTTGGGATGTGTTTGTTGGTTATCTGCTACAGGAAAAACCTATCCTTGCTCCCGAGCCTCTAATAATGGACAATTTGGACCCGCTAATGGAGCAACTAAACAATTGGAATTTCCCAATCTTTGATTTGGTAGACAAAATCGGCACGAGATGTGGTCGGATTTTAAGTCAGGTAAGAAATTGGATGTTCTGTAAGATTTACCTCAAGAGTTCTGCTTTTTATAACGCAATCTTCTGGAATTCACTGATTCTAATCCAGAGCTGTTCGAATGCAGAGATGTGTTTCTTTCTGTTCGAGCGTTACGTGGGAATCAAATATTATGGTTTCCTGATTCGTACAAACCCAGCCAGTGTGGCTCCTCTGATAAGCCATGATTAAAATGCTAGGCTAGGAATTCAGGTGCAGAGTTTCTATTGCTATAGGACAGGAAGAAAAAAATAGAGCTAGCCGACTCATGGTTAGGAAATAAGCATTACCCAAACGCCAAGAATTAGATTTGGGCCTTGTAGAAGGGATTTGAGAAACAAAATATATTTTGTAAAGAAAGCTTTAGAGGTTATTAACACTGGAGAAGAAGAGACTTGATAGTTTATGGTAGCAGAAACGAGGAATGCGATAGCACCTTTTCTAACAGACAGGTTTTGTTCAAAGGTGCTAAAGATTTTCCAGTTAAAATGCATTAGTCAGAAAAGGCACCACTAGGCTCCTGCTAAAACAGCAGTTTCGAATCGGTTTTGAAAAGAAAATAGCCCACACACTACCACGGGAGACCTTTGGCTCTAGCACAGGCAAATGTGCAAAAATAATTTCCTTTTTTTTTCATGCAAAAATGGTGA